GTGAGATTTGAACCGCTGAACTGCTGATCTAGCAGTAGCCTGCAGTGCTGCATTTAACCACTGCGCCACCTGATCATACAGATGTGGAAGGAGAGAGCCACGTCCAGCTGCTGCCTGCCCTCCGCCCATGCTCCACAGCTACTCTTCTCTTTTCATGCCTGTTTTCACAGCTGGTTAGCTAGGACAAAGCTTGGGAGGGGCGTGGGTGGGTGGGTTTGAACTATTTTCCAGGCTCCCCTGCCCCACTCTCACCCCCCTGTGTGGTGGCCGCAAGAGGGGATCAAGATGCAGGGAAGAAGGGAGAGCGTCCCTTGGCATCCTCCTCCCTCTGTCTCTCTCTCTCTCACACACACATTCTCATTTTCTCTATCTCATTTTCTCTTTCTCATTCTTTTTCTTTCTCATTCTCTCTCATTTCTTTTTCTCTTTCTCATTCTCACACATACACAACTTTCTTTCTCATTCTCTCTCTCACACATTCTCATTCTTTCTCACACACTTATCTTTCTCATTTTTCTTTCTTTCTTAGTCTTTCTCATTCTCTCACACTCATTCTTTCTCATTTTGTCTATCTCATTTTCTCTCACTTTTTCTTTCTCATTCTCTCATTTCTTTTTCTTTCTCATTCTTTTTCTATCATTTTTTTCTCTTTCACATTCTCCTCACACATACACAACTTTCTTTCTCATTCTCTCTCACACACTCATTCTTTCTCTTTCTCCTTCTCACACATACACTCAACTTTCTTTCTCATTCTCTCTCACACACCTCTCTCACACACTTACTCATTCTTTCTTTCTCTCATTCTTTCTCATTCTTTCTCTCACACACACACTCATCTTTTTCTCTTTCTCTCTTTCTTTCTCATTCTCTCTCATTTTCTCTCCCTCTTTCACTCACACCCACACTCATCTTTTTCTCTGTCTCTTTCTCTCTCTCATGGACGCTTTCCACTTTATGATCTGGCTCTGCTCACAAGTTGAGACGTTAAACATCTGGAACGATGCCCCGTTGGGAGCGAGTGGCGGTCACTGCCTAGTAAATTTCCACAGCATTCGGGAAGCTTTTGGACCAGGATGGGAGACGGGAGGGCATGCGTCACTGAGTGAGCAGGAACCTTGCCTGACAGGCTCACGCCCCTACTGCTCCATTTCTCCCCCCCACCCCCTCCCCCCATCCCGCCTCTTCAACAGCAAAGCAGGCAACGCCTTCCTCTCTTCCGCATCTTAGCAAAGTTATACTTGAGTTGCGGCACCCTGTTGCTGATCGGGACTGGAGAGGGCAGCTTTTTCCTGCCCGGAGGGGGCACAAATTCCTTTCCTGCCTCTTCCTTGCAAGCCAGGTAAACCCCTTCCCCTCCCCAGCCTTTCTCAGCTGAGAGCTGGAGCCCCACCACCATCGGGCAAGCCAAGCGGGTGGGACTTCTAAATCCAGAACTTGGATCTTCAAGAGTGAAGAGCCCGGACAAAGTCCCCCTCCACTTTAGTTCCTCGCAGAGATGTTACTTTAAAGCTTTCCTTTCTTTGCGCTCCAGAGCTCAGCTTTCAGGATTGACACAGAAGAAGAGATTGGGCTGGGTGGGTTTCCAAGCGATTCTTCAAAACTCCCGAAGCCAGGACAAGAAACAACGGGTGGAAATTAGTTAAGGAGAATAGCAACCTAGAACTAAGGAGCTTTGGGGGAGGCTGAAGGAAAGTAGGGGAAGGATGGAGGGGGAAGAGAGAAAGAGAGAGACCAGGGGAAGGCCAGTGTGGATAGGGTTGAAAGGGAGCTGCAAGACCATCTGTCTGATTGGGATCGATTCCCACATCTAGGTGGGGTTCTGCTCTCCAGTGGCCCATCGCAGTGTTTCCTCATCTCTCGTGTCCATCTCTCTAGTCGTCCTTGGCACAAAAAAAACAACCCATGGCAAGCATTCAAGATCTGCCGGATGACATTTTGCTGGCTGTCTTCCGCCTGCTCCCAATCAAGGAGCTGATCTGGAACTGCCGGCTGGTTTGTTCACGGTGGCGAGACATCTTGGACACCCCTTCCCTGTGGAGGCGCAAGTACCAAGAGGAGGACGCTGACCTGGGGATGCCAAAGACCTTCTACATTTTCTGCCACTTGGAGAGGAACTTAATCAAGAACCCTTGTGGCGAAGGTGAGTCCCACTGCAGCCAGGGGAGATCGTGTGCGGGTTGCAACGACCATTCTGGGGGTCTGCGATAGCTTCCAAAGACCAAGAGGGGGACAGCTCTGCTCTAAGCAAAAGGCCAAAGGCCACTCAGGTGGGCGAAAAGTCCGAGGAACTGTCTGTCTTTCCTTCTCCCAAAGTGCTTTTCTTCAAGAAGCCACTGGACTTCCTTATTCTTCTTTGGAGACGTTTCGCTTCTCAGTCAAGAAGCTTCTTCAGTTCTGACTAGATGGTGAGGAACGGAAGGATTTGTTCTCCTTGCAGACAGCTGGTCATTCGCCTCCTTTTAGAGAGTCACTGAGGCCCCTTGGAGGTTTCTCTGTGTCCTCAGGGTCACCCCGAGTGGTGCAAATGGGTGTGGAGCCTTCTTGGAACTGCTGAAAGGACTGTGTTGTAAACTGGAGATAGAGGATGTTGCGCCCCTCCCCTTCGAATGACCAGCTGTCTGCAAGGAGTACAAATCTTTCCATTTCCCATCATTCAGTCAGAGTGGAAGAAGCTTCTTTGGATGAGAAGTGAAACCTCTTCAAAGGAAAACAAGGAAGTCTAGTTGCCTCTTGAAAAAAAGCACCTTTGGGACAGCCAGGACCTGGAGGACTGAGAACCTCCACTGATATGTCTTTCCTTCTTTTTCTCTCTCTTTCTGCAGCTGGATGGTTGAGTGGGCCCGAAGTCTCTAGGGCAGGGATGGCGAATCTTTTCGGCACAGAGTGCCAAAAAGGGAGCGTGAGCGTGCGCGTCTTGCCCGCAACCTAGAAGAGCAGCTGCCGAGGGGCCATGCGCACGCCGGAAAATGAATTCTGGTTTCCAGCACGCGCATGCACAGCAGCCAAGTAGTCTAAATGGGGCACATGTGCGCCTGATGATCAGGTGGCCGAGGTGCATGCTCACGCCAGGAAATGGAAGACCATCTCTTCCTGTCTCTGGCACTGCCGCATGCACGAAGGCCAGCTTGCCGTCACACACGCATGGGCACCAGAAACCCAGAAGAGGCTCCGCCTGCCACTTTGGACAGGCATGTGCCATAGGTTCACCATCAGGGGAAAAATAATAATTTTCAAATGAAAGCAGTGGCCTTGCTAATAATAAATTAGAGATCTTTTTACCATTGAGGACAGGCCTTTCACATTTTGACCGGGGTCTTCTACGGCCCTGGGGACTGATATGAATTAAGAGACCCTTGTGTAAATAATGAAGTTAATATTCATTCTGTCTTCAAGAGCCACTGAACTTCTGTACCGTTGTGACTGTTCACTCTTTGACTCTTCCCCCTATGGATCCGATTTAGCAGAAAGGGTGAACGCAAATTGTGCCCTTTTTAAAACTCAACCTCAACGCTTGAGGTCAACTTCGAGCAACCTGCAGCTCATCCCATTAAGAAAGTCCGATTTAAAGAGAAATAAAGGTGTGAATGGGGCGGGGAGCGTGTGGTGCTTCTTCTTTGACTTCCCGTGGCTTTTTCTAACAGACGGATTAGACTTCTGGGATACGGCCACGCCTTCAAACGGACAGTGGAAAATTAAAGATGTCTTTGAAAAAGACTCCGCAAAGCTGCAGTCCTGGGACTTCCTTCAGAGGAATCTTTTTGTAAAAGATGAATGGATACCCTATCAAGAGGTTGAAAAATGTTTTGCTGTGTACAATGGGTGAGGAGGAGGATCGTGACGTTTATTCGGACATTTAATTGACATGGGTGGGGGGGAAGGGAAGTCACCGTGGGAATTTGTGGCCTTCTGCCAGGCAAGCTAGACTTCCTTCTCTCAAAATGATAGAAAGGGGAAGTTTCACTTTATATGGATTCATTCCACCTAGCAAGAATTTTGATTTTAAGATTGTTCCACGGAAACATTTTTCCGAGCCAAAGAAGGATGATCCCATTTAATGTAATTTAAATCAGGCCGCGTGAATTCTGCTCTATCCCAAATGACTTGTCTGCTTTCTTCCGATTTTTCAGTTCGTTAAACGCTACGGTTGAAAATACCTCTGTGTCTTTTGCTCCCGTTCAGTGCTTAGGAACTTAAAAAAAGGCCCGTCTCGCCCAATTAGACCCCAGTTTCCTCTGCTCTAATGTAACCAAAGTCTCGTAAGACCCAGGCTGTTAACCCGACGAAGCTCTCCAACCTCCAGAAGTGCAGGATTGTTTCTGAATTGTGGTACTTTCTCCGGTAGGCTCTGCACAAAGTCTCAGCTCATCACGTTGAAGGATGAAGGTTACTGGGATCAGCTGATGGATGACGGGAGACCCACAATTATGGTGAAGGATTGGTAAGGGCCAGAACATCAGCTCCTGGCATAAGGGAGCAGGAAACGTAGGCAACTAGGCATTGTCCTGACCAGAAAGCAGGAGGCAGAATCCTTGTCCCAACAAAACCCCTATTAAACGAATGGGAATTCCTCTCATTCACATTCAGCCAAGGCCTGGCAAACAGTCTTTCCAAGGAATATTTATGACCACAGACCTTATCTGTCTTGGAAAGCTGCCATGTGAATATTTTCCAACTGAGGTGCTGTGCAAGGAAAGACTGGGAGATTCACGGACAGATCTTCACACTCCTGAAATGAATCTAAACACCAAACAAATTGTTTCCTGCAAAAGTCCACTCCCCTTTCGCTCTTTTATTTCCTATGGGAGGAGCCATTTACCTTCCACCTGTGGCTTTACTCCCAAATTGACCCTTATTTCTGAGTTGTTCTTTTCTTCTGGCAGCTCTGTGCATGCGCACACTGGGAACAGGCTCCAGCTGTTCCTCTGCCTCACTGCTGTCTAGCTCCGGAAGCACCTGATCACTGCCAGACGGCCTCGGCCCCATCTCTGCCTCCGATGCAGAGCCCTCGTCCGAGCCTTCCCCACTCTCCAGGACTGGCCCAGGCTCCTCCCCAACCTCCTCA